AGCGGTTCCCTGTGCCCGGACAGGTACCTGCTCCAGGAGTCCTGCCGGGAGGCTGCGCTTGTTGGTGGCCGCCGCCTTCTGAAGGAGCTTCTTGGCTTCCTCCATCCTGCCTTTGGTCACCAGCCACCGAGCTGACTCTGGGAGCACCCTGCCGAGGAGGGGAGCTCAGCACACGCTGCTCTGACCCGCCGAGCTCCCCCACAGCCCTTTGTCACCACACCCGCAAACAGTGGGCATGCCATGGGAGGGATGGGCCTAAATGCCCTACCTTTGGGCTCCAAAGGCCCACATCTGATGACCTGAAGCAAAGCAGCTGCTGCTCTCAGCAGCCCAGTGTCCCAGGGAGCTGTGCTGAGCTCTGCAGAAGCTCCTCCAGCATCTGCACTGTGATGGGAAAGACCCATCCTGGTGCTGAGCTGCTGCTGCCTCCTCACTCCCACCCCTACCCTGCTGTTGTGTCTTACAGATGCTCTGCCCAACTCCTGCTTACCAGACGTAGAAGAAAAGAGCAAACAGAGGAGCGGATCCTGCAATCTCCAGCAGCCTCCAGTTGCGGATTCCGTAGCTCAGCCCAGCCACCATCATCTGTCCGATGGCAAAAGCAGTGTGAGCAATAAGGACTGACTTTGGCCGGAAGGAGATTCCAACCCATTCTGTGGCTGCAAAGAAGAACAAAACTTCGGGGTCACCCCTTCCAAAACATGTCAAGCTCTTTTTTGTTATTGTATCTTGTGAGGCCACCAAATGCTGCCTCAGGGCAAGGGCATCCTACTCACCCAGGGACACCACAGTAATCATAATTCCTGACACTGCAGCCCCCACGACACACCTGATGGCCATGTAGACATAAAAATGGGGCACAAAGGCAACTGCTAGACCAAACACGCCCTGGAGGAGCACGCAGATAAGAAAGACTGGCCGGCGGCCGATCCTGTGGGAGAAGAGAGAAGATGCAGTTGGTATCTGGAGAAACTCCATGGGGATAGGAAAGATCCCAGGTGGAATACTAAGTGATTTGAAAACCAGAGGAGATTTTACATCCCTGTGTATATAGCTGTATATCCCTATACAGCCCAAGAAATAATGTGCACAAAAAACAGCGTCTCCACTTTTGAGCTGTCGCTCAAAGGCTGAGACATCAGTTGGGGCTGGACTTGTGAGTCCTGGAGGACCTCCCCTCAAGGCTCTGTCTGCACCTCTCTCTTTTCAACCATCAGACATCTACAGACACGTCAGGTGGCCCCAGATGCCCTTACTCAGTCAAGGGGACTGAGTCTGTGGAGGGAGTATTTCATGACCAGTGCGAGGACAGCCTGGCCCCTCAGCTGGGCTGTCCCTGAGTGCTGGGCGATGACTCTGGGAAGGTGACCGTGTTTCCTCACCTGTCACTTAGCATCCCAAAGAACATGGCTCCCACGAGAAGCCCAGCCATGTAGATGGACTGGGAGATGTCGTTCAGGACCGTCCTGTCACACACCAGGTCAAACTGGAGGAGGGAAACACAGATGCTGTTGCTTTCGACAGACCCCAGCTGCTTTCTGAGGATCAGAGTTGTAGCAGCTCCACTTCCCTGGATGCAAAGGCAGGACGGGGTAGAAGGAGGAGGAGAGGAGGAGAGCTGTGTTTTCTTTGGTAAAGGAGGACCAGCGTAGGAATGGGAAGGGATGCAGCAGCTGCTGACAATCCTACAGAGAAACTGCCTGTGAAATGGGCATGGTGCTCCAGGGACACCAAAGAGCACTTGCCAGAGCCTAGACTCTCTCCTCTGGCTGCAGCTCAGAGTAAAGTACTTGAGAGAAAGTGCTGGAGCTGGGAGGTAAAAAAGGAGGGAGAGAGGGGGGAAAGGATGGAGGAATGAGGCAAAGTGAGAGAGGAACAGAGGTCTGGAAAGGGAGAATCAGAGAATAATTCAGATTGGAAAAGACCTCCAAGATCATTGAGTTCACCCTTTGACTGATCACCCCCTTGTCAGCTAGAAGGTGGGGGGTGAATCAGGATGGAGAAGTTGGGAATGCTGACAGACAAAGCCTTTCCTCAACTGCATAGCCCATGGAACGTCTTGTTGCAGCCCTGAAAGACTCTGGAGGCCCCAGAAATATCAATGACAAATCACTGGAAGGTAAAGGTCTTTCACAGAGAAGGTGATGTGAGTAGAGCCAGGCTGAAGAATAGGAGAAACTGTGGCAGGGACACTCAAAAGGTCCCTCCTGGCAGGATCGTAGGCTAAAGGGTCTGGATAGTGGAAAGGGAAGAGATGGTGGGCAGAGCTTGTGCTGGACTCACACTCCCATTGTGCCCTCCCTGGGCATCTACATCACAGTCTTCCTGAAACAACCTCCCAAGGATTACAACTGTGATGGAGGCAAAATCCTCCAGTGCCTGGTAAATCTCAGCCTGACGGCACCACAGCTGGCATTGTCTGATCAAACCACAGGACAGGACATACCCATCCCTTCCCTTCCACGTCCCCCATCACCTCAAAAAAGGGTTACAGACCTCGGTCAGCAGGGAGGGTGGCTCTGCTGAGGGGTACACCCAGCCACTGCTGCACTTCTGCGTGGCGTTCAGGCCATATGTCAGGATGGAGTCCAGGTCCCAGTCCACTGGGGAGTACATGGAGCACTGCTCGTACTGCCCGTCCGCATCCCGGGGCAGGGTGAGGTTCAGCTGCTCTTCCTGCGTCAGGTTGGGGCCGACAGTGAGGATCCAGCTGGTGTCACAGTGGTGGGGAACCTCCACAACCATGAACACTTGGCCAATCATTTGGAAAGGATTAAGAAGGAGCGGGAGGGAGAGCAACAGTATCAGCAGTTTCTGGTATAGCCCAAACTCCCCCAGAGCACTTATGACATCTCCGAACTCAGCCATGGTGATTACTTCTGTGGCCAGGCTGTGCTGGTGCATGTGGCTTAAATAGGCAAATATTAATGTTTAAACTATGTCAGCACTAAACCCCTAATCCAGTGTGATAAAACGAGCACCTGTACCAGCATGTTCATCATTATGAAGATACGGTGCTGTCCTCCAGGGCGTACTTTGTCACCAGCCATTCCCTCCCTGTTCTCGGGAGCAGAACAAAGAGCACTGCCACTCTTGGAGATGATAGCATGGCAACAGCTTGTCTTTTTCCAGCCTGGAATGTCTCACAAGGCGTCCTGAAAGCAACTGTGCTGCAGTGCAAGGTTTTTTGTCTGAGACATGAAGTTGCGACCCTACAAACGAGGGGTAGTTTTTCTGCGTGGGGTGAAACAAAAGGAGTGAATTTACTGCTCCCATTCATGGCTGTATAACCCATCCTGGAGACTATAGGAAAGGGAAGCAGAAAATCACTTCTCCTCTGGACCAGGGAATATGGCTGGTAGTCAAGTAGACTTGGTCTTGACAGCTGTGTCCCAAGCTGTCTGTTTTAATTTGCCCCATGTAGAAACCCTGGGTAGTCATAAAACCAGATCTAAACTGCCGTGTCTTGGGGAGAATCCTAAAATAGATTTGGCTCAGAGAGCACCCTCAGGGAAAACAGCACGTTACACACACAGACATACAGAGCACACAGGATCTGGGAAACAACACCAGCTTGGCTTTGCCCAAGGTTCTGATGTCACTCGAAAAGCAGATTGACCTGATTTCTGCTGCGCATCTGAGTCCCTTCCTGGGCAAACTCCCTGAGTGGTTTGTGTCTTTATTCCTGCAGACTGGATAGCTGGATTGCACTCAGTGTATGGAATTTGGTGTTTACTTTGGAAAGCTCTCCTGGCTGCTTTCACCAGAGTGATAAGGACAGGTCACTGACTTGCTCACTTCAAGTCTCCTCTCAAATTCTTTGTCCTTCCCCCTCAATGCAGACAGGATGCATGAGCCTCCAGCAAAGTTACTGAGGGGTCACACGAGCCTGGATTGGTGTTCCATGAGTGGGAATGGCATCGTTGTGCTGATTGCTTATGGAAGTGGGAAGAGGGGTAAAATGCTTGATTTTTAAGCATGACCTCTCACCAGGAGAGGGGGAGTGAGGTCATACTGGTTAGTGCTACTAGTAAAGGAAGAGAAGAGTAAATGCTGCTTATGGGGTTGTGTAAATTCACAGCAGTGGTATTTGTGCATCATCTGCACATACTATACACCACACTGTTATGTGTGGCTCATGGTGTCCCCTCCCATTCCTCTGCCACCAGCACCTCATGTGTCAAAGAGGTCAGATTTTGCCTATAAAAACTCCTTGAGGGTGATCCAGACCTGACTGCAGTCTCGTGCTAATGCAGATGTGACTCCTTAAGGCTGTTCTTCCCAACATCACCAGTCAGGCACTTCTGAACCCCTGGGACAGCTTCAACCCCTTGTAAACTCTGTCACCCTCAGGTGTCATTTCTCATAGAAAGACACTGTTCCTGTCATCTGGGGCCAAGAGGGTCAATGCCTACATGGTGGAGATCTCTCAGGGACAAAAGTTGGAGCAGCCCTGCAAACCTCTGCTTCCTGGAGCCCCACTGATAAGGACTCTGTGCTTATTTCTCTATGTTCAGCAGTTTTGCTCGTGTGCATTACTAAGGCTTGCAAAGCCTCTTGAAAATGGAGAAGCCTCTGCCAGAGGAACCACGAGAAACCCACAAGTCTCAGGGAAAACCTGGGATGGGAAGCTGGAAAACCTGTATATCCATGTCAAGGACTAGGGAAAGGGAGGGGGACCGTCCAAGGAAGTAGTTCAGAAAGAGAAACCACTGCGTGGGGAGGAAGCCTGGTGCAGGCAGTAGGGCATTGATGCACTAATTCATGGACTTTTCCCTTTCACAGCTCTGACCATCAGGAGTGACTGTAGCTGGAGACCCATTTGGACACCTATATTGGGGTGAATTCTGGCCAGAATGGATTCATACCCACCACCTGTGATGCTCCTGCATTTTCTCCTCTTCCTCTTAGGGCTGGCAGGGAGAGAACAGGTTTATGGGTGTCACCTGGCAGTGACAGCTTGGTCTGGGCATCACTCTGAGCATCTTTTGCACAGGTAACAGGGCCACCCACTTCCCACTGCTCCAGTGGAAGGTGCTTGATCTCTGCAAACCTCTCCATCTCTAAGCACAGCTTGACCAGGTTTCAGGCAGGGC